AAAATGGGTTTGGTGATTTTTCTGGTGTTCATAATTGCTGCATTTCATCGTGACTTTCCTATTTTTTAAATTGAAATGGCAAAAGAGCTATGAAAAGGATATTGTTAGGATTTTTTGAGTTCCAAACGTGGCCTTTATGTTTAAATACTAGAACTTGAATTAGGATCGACTAACATAAATTATCAGCTATTGATTTTCAAATCTTACCGTTGAAATGATGATGCTATATTTAGTATCTCAAACAGTTGGATTTAGAAAGAATCCTTTTAATTGCATTTTGGTGAAGTTGTTCTGACAGATCCAGAAAAAGGTCTAAGAGGGGCTATTGATAAAGCTGAAGAAATTGTCGTCAGTATGCCAAAACCAAATGCTTACAGTTTGATAACGTTACCTAGATAGTGTGAAGGTATTTAATCTTTTATCATGTGATAGACCTTTTTAATAGTGTTGATTGCCTGTAAATATGTTAGCTTTCAGATATTTTGTAATTATATTTCTCCAGGAACTGCAGATACACTTGAAACTACGGGACCAGAAATGTGGGGGGACTCTTTGAATGGTGTAGACCTGTTTGCTGCTGCAATTGGAACTGGTTGGATTGTTACAGGAACTAGGCATTACTTTAAAATGATGAACATCATCATTCGGGTCTATTTGGTTTTAAAATTTACTGGTTTACAATGTCCATTTAACATCAATAGTTTCACTACTCAATATGATCTAGACCCTTGTTCCTGCAAGATATCAGTATATAATATAAGGAAAGTTTTGAGCTGATAATAGTGTTATACATTTGAAATTTGTTTGCTTAATCGGATACATTCATTCTTAGATTTTATAGGTACCAATATACAAAGTCAAAGTATTAGTATTAGTTTCTCTTTTGATGCATCCCCTTGAAATCTGTTAACCCTTTGAACAACTTGTGTTACTTGGATCGTTGGTGAGGAACCTGCAGAGGGAAGTGTAATCTCTGGGGACAATCCAGATGAAAAGCTTTCTATTCGGTTACATAAGCATAAATGAAATTTTTGTGCTCTTTTTTTGCCTTCTTTTCTTTTAGCATGAAGATTTTGGTGCAGGTTATGGGCAAAGCAATCTCGGATGTTAAGTTGCTTGATGAGGTTTCCAAGGTAAACAATACTTTCCCACTTCTATTTTTCAGCCTATTTTTATACTCTTTCTTATATTTCCATAATGGAAGAGATCGATTTTTAAATTGATTGTTTTTCATTGCAATAAATTTTTGTTGCTTTATAAAGAACTCTTGTGGTCAATATTTATTGTTTTTGCAGCACATGTTCTAACTTTAAATAGTGTTTTTTTTTTTTTTTTGCTCTGTGTGTGTCTGCTTTTCTCTGAGTGCCATTGTGTTTTCATCCGTCCACAAGATATTTTTTGTTTTCATTTTGCTGTAACCAGTTTAACTGGGAAGTGGTCTCTCCTGTGAGTGTCTGTGAATTTTGGTCCTTGTGCTTGTAATTGTAAGGTTTTTTCTTCCCTCAGAGGGCTATGTATTTGTATAATTTTATCGCATAGACTACTTTTTGAGGGAAAGAACTGTAGAAGTGGCTGGATCATATCAGCATTTTGACTTATAGAAGACTGCTTGGGGGTAAATAATTAAATGGTTCAATATAAATATATATATATATATATATTTTTGATAGAGGTTAAATAAAAATTTTTAAGTTGACATCTGAAATATTTTTGATATACTCTTTAATGAACCACAGAAAAAAATAAAGAAAAGAGATGAACTTTTGAACTTTTGACCACTTTTCCCACTTGGGGATCTTTGTCTCTCTTATTACATCATGCCATAGAACTTTGGATATGCTTGCCCATGTCTTGTTTATGTCTAAAACAGTCAACTACACTTTTTTTTTTTTTTTTATTTGTTCACTTCGTCATAAGTTGAATAACCAATTGATGTAGTTTTCCCTGTCCCCCATCCTTGCCATCTTCTTGACAACCATTAATCATTGACGAAGAAAGATTTCATTTCTCATTTTTAGAGGCACACCAATCCCATTGGAGCCAAAAATCTTGATTTCTCTCTTTATTTATTGAGTTTATTTCTTAATTTTTTAGTGTTATTAACATGCAGTTTCACCATTTAACCTTGTCAAATGAGCTTTCTGCTGTAGGTTACCACTGATGAAGCTATTGAATTGTCTAGGAGAGTAGTGTTGGAGGAAGGTCTGCAGGTAATATGCAAATATATTTCTATATGAACATCTACTGCCATTCTTCATTTTATTTTTTCATAGAGCATAGGTTGTTTTTGTTTTTGATTATTATGAATGGCTGAATTTTAGTTACCATGAGTGGCTGACTTATCATTATTTTTGGCTAAGGGTGCAGAATTGCCTGAAATTGCCCACCAAAAAATGAAAAAAAAAAAAAAAAACCACTCAAAATTTTGAATTCAAGATTTCAACCCAAAATTAATGGATGATATCATTGCACATCACTTTTCCATTAACTACTTGCTTGGTCTAGGTTCTATAATTGGGGGCTAGCACAGTGGCACATCAGCAAGAATGTAACAATATAAGGGTTCAAAGGATAGTGTGTTAGTGATGCTTTGTGGCACTTTCTCAGTTTCTTAGATTATATGATCAAAAAGAGCAAGAAGAAACGAAAAGATTAGAGCATGGTAACATGCACACGTAGAAAAGGTAAAGATTACATGAACATTCTTAACTTCAAGGACACAAGTACAGCAACAGAGAACAAAACCTAAACTGTGAACTAAAAAGCATTGGTTCTTTATTTAGACTCACAACAACATAGGATGCATTGCTGAAACACTTTAGATGTCTCCCTACATCTCCTTCCTAAACAAAGAAATTTTTCTTTGAGCACAAATCTTGTAGTGCAGTAACCCATCTATGCACTGAAATATGATTTCGTCTCTGACCCTCAGCCCCTTGTTGCCTACATAGTTGCATCACCCTGTTCTAAAAATGGCCTCTGGTTGCCCTCCCTCCAGGTATGGTATTCAAAGGTTCTCTGTGTTCCAGATGCATCTACCGTCATGTTTACAGAGTGGCCCCCATCATTAGCTGGCAAATTGCTCATGAAATGAGTTCGGATCACCAACATTTCATTGATATCAGTTTCTGCGAGCTCCTTCTCAGATGATGCCATTGCTAACACTCAATTTAGATTTCTCTCTGTTGCTTTTCATGGCTAAATCAAACCCCATGTATGGTTATATATAGTGTTGCTCCATTCAAGTTCTCAATATAGTTGTGTCAAGTAAGAGCATTATTATAACACATTTGCTTTTAACCCAAGTGTTTGTACTTAAACTCGCAGTCTGCTACATTCCCTTTGGTCTAGAAAATTTTTTTAAGTAACTAGCAAGTATGGGGTGAAAGCTGTGTTGATACGCGTGACACTTAAATTTTGTTTTAATAATAACTGTAGAATCGCTCGTAGAGAAATTCCAAAGATGTATTAGAGTTCTGTCAAAATTTATTTAGGATAAGGAGCTAAGTTTTCACACTTTAGAACATTCCATGAAAATTTGAAAAATTATTTATGTACACAGAAAAGCAGAGTATCTTAGGCTTGAGTCAATGTGGGTCCCCAACTTAGTAGATCTTAACCTTTGATTCCAGTATAATAACACATTTGCTAGATCATCATGAGTTTGTAAGTAAGAAATGATATGAACCAAAAAAAGAATGTGATTGATTAATCACATTATGCAGTGTTTATGGTATTCAATCTCAAAAACTTGTTAGTCTACAGGCAAGGAAACACGCAAGCTCTGCCAGTGTGTGGTTTGAAGCTTAATCGACATGAGCACTGTATAAAAATCATCCATATCCATTGAGCACTGTATGCTAGAAGCATGGGTGTGCACATGATGAGACATATGGATATTATAGGTTGAGGTCCACACTTGCACTTGTGTATGAAACTCTCATCACATTACTCATGGTAAATGCAGGTGTAGATTTGAGTGGCGCAAAGCCTCAAGATCTCTCTAGCCATGAGTTTCTCAATGACACTTCACTCAAAAGGGGTTATGTGTTCAAGCCAAAGCTCAATGCTTGGGGAATGAAACAGAAAAAGAAGGAAGGAGGGCAAGATGAAGGTGAAGGGGATGATGAAGCTAAAAATGAAGAAGAAAATGAAGAAGCAGGCCCCTCTCAAGGTGGTTCATCTCAGGTCCCTCAGAAAATCAGTACCAACAAAGGCATTCTTCTAATTCTTGAGAGGCTCGCATTGCTTGACAAGAAGCTCAATTATCACATTCGAGAATGTCAGTCTGTAGAACCTCCAGCACCTTCAGCCACCATATCGGACCCCACTGCTGCTGGCACTTCATCTGAACCCATGCCTACTGAACCCTGTACCTATCCTGAAACTTAAACTTCTTGGTTCCAATTGTTTGTCTATTTTAACTTCTGTTTTGTATTTAAATTCTACTTCAAACTCTGTTTTTGTATATATATATATATATATATATATATATTGTTTTGAGACATTATATGTGTTTAGATTAAAGTAAATTCGGATATATTTCTATGATAGTATCTCCTTGCATTTGTGAATGTTGGTTATCTTTATTTTTGATGAACTTTTTGATGTTGAAAAAAAGAGGGAGAAGAGATATGGGGAATTGTTTTAGTTCTGTTTTATGTGCAGTTTTGAGTTTGAGTTGTGGTTGTGGTTTATGTTTAAAGTTAGTTTTATGCGTGGTTGATTGTGTTTTTGGTTGGAGTTAATTATGTATAAGTTGTTAAGTTGGTTTATGTTTAGTGTTATGTGAAGTTTTTGTGTTTGGTTCATGTTTTCAAGTTTGTTATGAGGTTTAATCTGTTTTGTGAAAGTGTTATAGGCGTGTATGAGTTGGGTTCATGAAATTTGAATGTTTGAAGTTTATATGTTCTAGTTGTTTTAGGTGTTTGGTACACTCCATGCATGAATTGAGGGGGAGTTGATATTACCATTTTAAAACTAAGAAATTGCCAAAGTTACTCGATACTTAGTTGTTTGAGCTTGATTTATTTAACTTTTATATGTCAATTTGTTTTGAGTTTTGTCATCATAAAAAGGAGAATTGCAGAACTTCAAGTGATTTTAATGATAGCAAAATTCTTTAAGATGTTTAATGAATTTGAGTTTAAGTGTGCAATTGAAAATTTTCAAAGTGTTTCAGGGAAAAATTCGAAAAATTGCAGAACATAAAACTTTATATTCAACTTTTGAAGTAAGAAGATTTTATTCTTGTTTGTAAATTCGACTCTAGAGCAAAATAAGCAGAAAATGTTCAACCCAAGAAAGAGTCGAATCTCAGAATCTATATTTGACTCTTGGACCTTTCACATTCGACTTTTAGAGATGAAGAGTTGACATCCAATTTTAAAGAGTTTAGTAAGATTTTAAGTGTAGGGCATACTCGGCTCTTCATTGTAAGAATCAACTCTTGGAGGTCAATATTCAATTTTTATTTCCAAGATTCGACTCTTGCCCAAAAGAGGGAAAGTTAGTTAAGTCTTAGAATTTCTTGGAGAATCAACACTCAGAATGAAGAGTCAAATCTAGGCTTTATAAATTTGACTCTTGATTGTACAATAACAATTAGATTTTTAAATCTAATGCAGTTGCTGAGCAATTAATGCATTCCTATGAATCCAAAATGACTAATTTCAACCAAAGGAAGATAAATAGAGTTGATGAGAGTATTGAAGAGTTTTTTAGACACTTTCATTGAATATCTTTTACCAATCAACTTGAAATTCTTGTACCTTGACTTGTGAATTGATCCTTTTGTGATATTTATTTGTAATCCTCTACTTGCTTTCTTTGAATGATATCTTGAGGGTATGGTTATTTCTTTCGAGAATGATTTGTAGTGAAGATTGTTGGGTTTGCTTTGTAAAGGGTTGTGATTCGTGAGAAAACTCATTTTTTGTAAAAGGATTGAGAGACTGTTTAAGCAACCCTTGTTCATTCTAGTAAAGAGTGTGAAGAAAATTTTTAATGAGTGAAGCCAAGATAAAAGATTAAGAGCTTGTTTGGCGTGACTAAGCTTTTAATAGAAGTCTTATTAAAGAGAATCTATTGTGGGAGTGTTGTTTTTGAGAAGTTAGAAGTGTTTGGTAAAATTTTTTATAAAAGTACTTGCAAAGTGAAAGTTGTTTGGTAAATTTTTTTGGTAAATTTTTTTATAAAAGATCTTTTAATATTAAAATAACTGAAATAGATATTGTTTATTTTTTTATCACTCTCACTTCATTTTTTTAATATTTTTATATGACTTTAAATTTATAATTAGTTTAAAGTTGATGATTAAAAATTAATTATTCAAATTTTAAAACATAAATGATAGATAAATATTTATATTTTAATATTAAAAACAATATTATTACATTTAAATAACATAAATAAGACAATTAAAATTAAAACTTAAGTTAAATACTTTTTTTATCCTTTACCTTTTAAAAAAGTTCTTTTTTAATTCTTGCACTAAAATTTTTTTTTTAATCCTTAAAATTTAAAAAATTTAACTTCTTTTTAATATTTTTCATTAAGTTTTAATGGAACATATTAATTAAGAAAAAATTTACATTTTTTCTTTACTTAAATTACATGAAATATTCATATGATAAAAATTAATAACATGGTTAAAATTTTTATTAATATAACCTTAAAATCATTTAATTATATAATTATTAATATAACTATTATAAAGTTTATTATTCTCCCATTCCCCTGTTTGTTTTTTTCTTTTTTTTTTTTTTTTTGGGTTTGCGCGAACCCAGGTTCATCACAGAACCAAGCTCTTGGGTTCGTCTCAAACCCAAGCACTGGGTTCCACGACGAATCCCGCGCTTGAGTTCATCTCAAAATGAAGGGGAGGGGTTTGCGACGAACCTACACTTGGTTTGTCTTGAACCAAGCTCCTGGGTTCGTCTTAGAACCCAAGTGCGAGGTTCATTACAAACCCATCTCCTGGGTTCATCTTCGAATGGAAGATAAGGAGATTTTCAGTTTAGGAGGAAAGAAAATGAGGAAGAATACGATAAGTATTTTTGGTTTGTTTTTTTGATTGGATATTTTGGTTTGTTTCTTTGATTGGATGAGTATTTTCGATTTGTTTCTTTGATTGGATGAGGAAGAAGAAACAAATGTGCCTGGGTTGGTTGGTGTGATGTTTTAAACTGGTCCTTTATATATTAGTTTTTTCATAAATAAAAGGAAGTGTGAGGATAAAATGGGAAGACCATGTCAATTTCATTAAGCATGGAGCAAGAAGCTCCCGCTGAAATAAGAAATTGGAGCTTCCGAGCTTTGCAAAAGAACGACGAGAAGGTGAGCTTCTCGAAAGCTGCAGCACGTTTGAGAAGTTATGTTGTTTGCTAAAGCTTGTGCTTTTAGAACCAAAAAACTCTTGTCACAATCTGTACCAAACACCCTCTAAGTGTCAAGTCATTATATTGAATCTTTATAAAATTTTTGTGTAAACTTCTCATCTCTTCTCTTTGATTTTTATTTTGTGGTTACAAATATGAGGAAAATCTTGAAACTCTAATTCACTTCATGCTTGGAGTGCATTGAGCCAACATATTTACCCACTAACTTACCATAAAAATTTAGTTTCTCTTCCAATATTTAGGGCTTGTTTGGTTGGCTATTTTTTTGGAAAAGGAATTTAGGAAAGCCAACCAAAATTGGATGCAGCTTGACTTAGGAAATTTATTTATTTTTTTTGACCTGCAAATCAATGCACAATATAATTGGTTATGGAATAAAAGGAAATGCATCATTTTGCAATACAATTGATTATCTTAGAAAAATCAGTGGTTATACCAATATAATTCATTATTTTTTCTTTGTAATTGAATATGTCTACTTTTTTTTAAAAAAAAATTTCTAAGTCCAGCCATTAAGCCAAGATTATGGGTTTAAGTATTGAAATCTGTGCTGGGAAAATAAAATGCTTGAAGTAATGGATTATAATGCTTATAATCGATTACAATGCCCAGATAATGTTTTCTGTCCAAAAACATGAGAAGAAAAATTTTTGGGTGTTATAATCGAGTATATTGCATGTAATCAATTATGTTTCAATATAATTGCTTTGAAGTAAAATATAATTGATTACTTATTGTTTTGATTTTTGTGTTAGGAATGTTACTTTCCTGAGCCAAGCCATATTAACAAGGGCTCACAGCTTCCCTGTAAAAACAATCCAAGAAAAAGATTTACCAAACAGCCCTAGAGAAAAAGTACTTCTTGAAAAGTGGCAATATAATGCATTATTTTTCCTTCTATAATAAATTATATTGTATTTTAATTTGCAAACTAAGAAATTAAAATTTTTAAGCCAAACCGTGTTCAATTTTGGTCGGCTTCCTTGAATTCTTCTTGTGAGGAATTCCAAACTAATTAAACAGGCACTTAACGGGACTTCTAACAAATTCTACTGATAAAAAATAACTTATGTATAATATTTAACTACAATATTTTTGTGTAATATAAAATATTATTTTGTTGTCAACTTTTTTTATTCATGAGGCTGTGCATAATATAATATATTTATTTATTTAATATTATATCACATTATACATTGCTCTATTCAAATTAGTATAATACTTTACTGAGATGGAGCATCAATTGAGCTACTTGGAAGCCTAATTGCAGCGAAATCTGGCACCTTCTTACAAAATGGCACTGTTAACTCCCATAAAGCACTCTCTGATCCATAATGTTTTATATTTGAGTGATTTTATTCTAGAAAGCGAGATGCAATCATTTGTGCTAAGAGTTTCTCATTGTTGCGGTTCAATACCCGATTGTTCAGCTTGTAACTTTTATTTTATTTTGTTGAAATAATAATATTTTAAAAAAATTATATTGTTATTTTTTTGATAAATAAATTATATTGTTATTTGAATTATATTAGATTATAAAATATTAATTCTTCAATTACAAAAACTTCTTAATAATAAAAGAAATTTTTTTAATTAATAATTAATATTTTATGATTTAAATTACAAAACACTACACCGATGATATTTAGCTAGTAATTTCTATCCTTGATGGCTAATTGTTTCCTGATATATAGCACTAGAACCAACAGGTAGAAGACTATGTGCAATGATTTTTTACTGTATGATGATGATCGCAGAAGGTCAAGAGTTTGTCTTTTATTAATAAAATTGTTTTCGCTATTAAAAAAAAAAAAACTGTGCTCATAATAGTAATTAATTTCCATCCAATGTTTAAAAAAGAAAGAACTATACTCATAATATTTATTAGCTTCCATCCAAAACACTACCAAGTTCACTCCTCAAAGTGCATTAATCACTTTGTTACTTAATTTTAGGCAATAATATTCTCTCTTTATTTATTTATTTTTGGTATCTTTAATATGGATTATATTTACCAATCTCTTCCACTCATATTAAAAATTAAATTAGAGATTTTAATTTAAAATTTCAAATTTTATACGTTCTGAAATCGCACTAGCACTTTTATCATCTAATTTTGGCACGACAGGGAGAAAAAAAAAATTAAAGATTTATAGTTAGTATTATTTTTTTTTTTTTTTTGAATTTCGGAAGTTAAAGGCGACGTGGATGGAAAAATTACAATTAATTGGTGGATTTTGAGCATCACTTTAGATGTTCCCCCACAGGCAAAGTCTGTTGCTACTAGCTCCGCAGGTGGTGAACATATAATCAATAAAGTAATTTTCAGTAATTGTGGAAGTTGTGTACGTGAATCTAATACAAAATTTATATTTAATTTAAATTAATTAATAAAAAATAAAATAATTTTTTTTATTTAATTCTTAATTTTTTTATATTTATATTCGATATAAAATTTTTTTATTTAACAGTAATGAGATCACAAAATAACAGCCTTATTTCTCAGGCAATTTTTTTTTACTCTCCATCCTTATTTTCGAGTTTTATTACCGGCAGTTTCTTGTAAATAGGCAATTTATAAATACAACCATAATTAGTCTAC